TGAGACTGGGCGTGAGTTGCTTAGGGTGAGATTGAGTGCGCATGATCCACTGAGTCTGTGTGTGAATGTATCTTAGCAGAGGGTGGTCTAGCAGCAGTGGGCCAAATTCGATGCCGCATGCGATGCCTGCTCCATCGCTGTGATCATGGGTCTCTGAAAAGACCCTCGTCTACTGAGCCGAAGCAGGTAGTCCTTCGAAATCTGGGCGCCAACGTGCCCGTGATATACCCCATGGCAGGTTCCCCTCTGTTGGAAGGCTAAGTGCCAAAGTGCGATCCCTGCTACATCGAGGCGGCCATGGGGTTCTGAAAAGACATCCATTCGTCCACTGATCCGAAACAGGCGTTCTGTCCGAAAGGTCTCCACAGCCTGGGCGCGAACGTGCCCGTGACATACCCCATGGTCGATCTCCCCCTGTTGGAGGGTTAAGTGCGATCCCTGCTATAGCGCGGTGGCCATGGGGCTCTGAAAAGATATTCGTGTATTGGGCCGAGACAGGCATTCTGCTTCACATGTCCGCACAACCTGGGCGCGAACGGGCCCCTGATATACCCCTTGGCACCCTGGCGGCCCCCTTGGGGCGGTCTCGTGCGGTGACTGCTTCCAGGTCGCGGCGCTCATGAGCCCCCGAGGGGGCGTGTGTCTAGGGGTCCAGAATGGGCTTGTTGCCTGAGATGTTTTTGAACTTTGTACGCCAGCAGGCCGTTGCATAGCCACTGGCGGCTCCTCCGCTGGGAGGCAGATGCGACGCTTGCTACATCGCGGTGGCCATAGTGCTCTGAGAAGGCACATGTCCATTGGTCCAACACGGGTGTTTTGCCAAAGCGGTGCCCGAAATCTGTGCGCCAGCCGGCCCGTTGCATAGCCCCTGTCATCTCCCGCTTTTGGGGGGCAGATGGGCTTTTCGCTTTATCCCTGTGACCATGGGGCTCTGAAGAGGCACTTACCCGCTGGGCCTAAACAGGCGTTTTGCCGGAGAGGTCCCGCACAGTCTGGGCGCCATCGGGTCCGTGGCACACTCGATATCCGCGACTAAACTGCTTCCAGGGTCGGTGCTTGAAGGTGCCTTTGGAGGACGAGGGGGTCGGCTGGAAGTTTTTAAGACGAATGTCCGCGGCGCTGTTGCGAGAGCCACATTGTGCCCCCCTCGATTCGTATACTTTTTGGATTCTTGTGAGACGAATGTGCGCGGCGCCGAGGCGAGAGCCACACTCTGAAGATGAATGTGCGCGGCACTGAAACGAGAGCCACATTTTGAAAACCACCCCGACTCCACCCGTTGAACGTTTAGGAATTTCAAGGTTCGGGCTCATCAACGGGGAGGGAGTCTCAGGACAAACGCCTGGCTTGCCCAAGTGACACGTCTGGTGGTCAGACAAGGAGGATCACTACATCGGAGATTGGAGGGTGAGGCCGAAGTGAAAAGTGAAAAGCCCAACCAGGGACTCGATTTCGGGAGGCGACGCTGCTCGAATTCGTCATCTAGTATATGCCAAATCAGACAAAAATGAGTCGCCCCCGCGGCGGCCGTGGCGCGGGATTGTTCCAATAGGTTGTCTCTATGGTTGCCCCGATGGTTGTCTCGATGGTTGTTTTGATGGTTGTTCCGGTGGTTGCCCCGATGGTGGTCCCGACGATTCTCCCGATGGTTGTCCCGATGGTTGTCCTGGTGTTTGGCTCGATGGTTGTCCCAGTGCTTGTCCCGATGATTGTTGCGACGGTTGTCCCGATGGTTTCCTCGATGGTTGTCTCAATGGTTGTTCTGATGGTTTTGTCGATGGGTTTTCGAAACAATGATGCAACCACATGTTCTCTGCGATGTCAGGAACCCCCTGCGAAGCCTTAATACAAACATACGCGCTCTTCGACCCCTTGATATAACACAATGACTTGTGCGAGACCGCAAGACAAAACAACGAACCTTTCGGGACAACCGTGTATATATATATATATAGGCACATACAAGAAAACATCAGAAAGGCACCAGCGTGACACAACTATAACCCTTGCGGGCTAGCAAATACAACATTTGCGCCCTGTTAGCATCATGCATCCGACGGGACAACGAGCAATGATAAGACCACGAGCAACAATAGCAGAAATCGATGAACGTATCGATGACCATCAATGCAAAACCACAACTCGTATGACAAGCCAGCGACAACAATTACCCTGTGACGTACCCAACCCCTCTGCACGAAATGACAAGAGGAGATGGTCCAGAATATTTTTGCAGGTGACAGCACAGGATCTGTAAGTAGTTGTGCAAGCTAGAAGAGAAGTGCGCGCGCTGCGCGAGTCACAGGGCAGCATAACAAAACACGTGTACTGAGACCCTAGGCTCGGAAAGAAAGTTGAGGCGGGAACGAGGGGCAGGAAAAGGACGGACGAGCGGCCGACAAGTTGACGTGACAACAACAAAGGAAATATGAGGAGGACAGAGGGTGGCGGTCATTTCCCAGTGGCACGTTAGACAAGCAGCGCGACCCGCGTCATGTCGCTCTGGCGCTCCAGAGATCAGCTGTTTCACAGCTCGTGCAAGACGCGAGCGAGGCCGACCTCGCCTACCAGGTTCCCCGTTCTATTCCTGCACCGTGCAGCGCGGGAGCTCAACGCGCCGCCAGGTCTTCGGGACCCGCCGGGCGTCACTCTGGTGGACACTTCAGCGGCTTTCGAAAGTGGCAACAGTTCCGCAGATCGCAGCCTTCCCGGAATGTCGAGGTCCTAATCAGTTCCGCGCGGGGCGTCGCTCCGTTGGGCACCCCAGCAGCCTCCGAAAGTGGCTACGGTTTCGCAGATCGCAGCCCCTCATGGATGGCGAGGTCTAATCAGGCTGGTCGAAGTCCGCGTGGGCCGTCACTCCGGTGGACCCCCGCCAGTCTCCGACGGTGGCGACAGTTTCGCAGATCGCAAACCGTAAGGATGGTGACGTCTATATTTTGTCCGCGTGGGGCATCACCCCGCTGGACCCCCCAACAACCCTTGAACGTGGAGACAATTTCGGAAATCGTAGCCCCCCCCAGAAGTGGCGAGGTCTGATTTAGGTCCGCGTGGGGCGTCGCTCCGCTAGACTCCCCTCGTCGAACGTGACGACAATTCCGCAGATCGCAGACCCCCCAGGAACGGCGAGGTCTAATTTAGGTTCGCGCGGGACACCACTCCGCTGGACCCCCCAGCAACCCTCAAAAGTGGCAACGGTTTTGCAGATCGCAGCCACTTGGGGACGGCGAGATAAAAGGTAGGCCCGCGTGAGGCGTCACTCTGCTGGGCCGGACCCACGGACAGCCCCCAAGAGTGTCGGTAGTTTCGCAGATCGCGGTACCCCCAGGGACGGCGAGGTCTAATGTAGGTCCGCGCTAGGCGTCACTGTGCTGGTACCCCAGCAGCCCTCGCGAGTGGCTACGGTTTCGTAAACCGCAGCCCCCCACATAAGGGGAGGTCTAGTTTAGGTCTGCGTTGGGTGTCGCTCCGCTGGACCCCCTGCAGGTGTCGGAAGTGTCGACGGTTTCGCAGATCGCAGCCCCCCAGGGACGGCGAGATTCAATTTAGGTCTGCGTGGGGCGTCGCTCCGTTGGACCCCCCTAGCAACCTTCGAAATTGGCGACAGCTTCGCAGATCGCAGCCCCCCAGGGATGGCGAGGTCTAGGTTAGGTCCGCGTGTGGCGTTGCTCCGCTGGACCGTCAGCAGCCGTCGAAAATGTCGACGGTTTCACAGATCGCACCCCCCCAGTGACGGCGAGGTTTGATTTAAATCCGCGTGGGGCGTTGCTCCGCGCCCCCCCCAACAGCCTTCGAAAAAGGCAACCGTTTCGCAGATCGCAGCCCTTCCAAGGGATGGCAGGGTGTAATTTATGTCCACGTGGAGCGTCATTCCGCTGGGCCCCCCAGCGGCTTTTGAACGTGGCGACAGGTTCACAGATCGCCGCCCAACCAGGGGTGGCGAGGTCTAATTTTGGCCCGCGTGGGGCGTAACTCCGCTGGACCCCCCAGCAGTCGTCGAGTGTGGCGACAGTTTTGCATATCACAGCCCCCCAGGGAAACCGATGGATAGATCGTTGCACCGATAGGTTGCGAGACTGATTGACACATGATACGCGTTTTTCCGTTAAGCACCATGCGCCTAAACAAACCACAGCAGCGTGTGAGTTTGCATGACTTAGCAGCCTTGTGAAGCAGCCCTATTTGAGCGCATGGTGCTCAAAAGGGCGTAGACGCACACATGTATATAGGCCGTTTTATATCGATATTTTCACACATACGTATATGTAAAGATGTATGCTCAGATCGGCATTTATGTACGTGCACGAACCCACGCTAATATCTCGATGCGTGTCCACATGTGTGCTGACTTGTGCGTCCATTGCACGTAAAACAATAATGTCACGTCCACACACGGCTAGATGTCTTGTCATCCAATATGTGGCCTTCAAGGTTGGGAACAGGTATGACAATGGGCTGGAGGAGGAAGAGGAAAAAACAGTACGGGGAGCAGTAGCACCGTCAGCAGCAACAGCAGGTGCAGGAGTAGGACCGCGCCAGCTTATGTTTGTCACCAGCGCGCCCAACGGTGGGAAGGAGGGAGGAGGAGGAGGAGGAGGAGGAGGGAGAGGAGGGAGAGGAGGAGGAGGAGGAGGGGGGAGGAGAAGCAGGATGATGATGATGTTGATGGAGGAGGGATGGTGGCGGAGGTGTGGGGGAGGCGGAGGAGGAGGAGGAGGTGGAGGAGGAGGAGGAGGAGGAAGAGGAACAGCATGACGAGGAGTGGCAGCACCATCCGCAGCAACAGCAGAAGTAGGAGCAGGATCACGACAGCGTATGTTTGTCACCAACCCGCCCAAAGGTGGCCTCACAGGTAAGGAATAAGGTATGGCAAGAGATGGAGGAGGACGACGACGAGGAGGAGGAGGAGGAGGAGGAGGAGGAGGAGGAGGAGCGGGATGAAGAGGACAAGGAGGACGGGGAGCGGTAGCACCATCAGCAGCAGCAGCAGAAACAGGAGGAGGACCACGACGATGTATGCCTGTCACTGGCGCGCCCACGGCGGACGGACACGCCCTGGGCGCCCGCTTTACGCGGGGGCGTTCTGGCACAGTGCTCCTGCAGCCGCTGCTGGAGTGTGGCCTCACAGCATCCATAGTCGACGCACCGACTGCTTGGGGTGCGCCAGGTCAGATGTGCGCCGCGGGGCCACTGTGGAGGGGGCCTCTAGCCTCAAAGTCACCTCTCTCCGTCCGCCTCGCCGTGCTTCCCCGCGCCCCTCCGACCGACACCTCGAACAACGGGCACGCCAGGTGAGGAGTTGGCCTGTCAGAAGGTGCCCCACGGAGATATCTTATTCCAGACGCTTCGCGTAGCCCCACCAGCTCCCGCAGCCGCTGCCCCAGCTGCCGCGTTTGTGAGCTGGCCCGGCCGGCTCGTGCTGCGCTCAGTAGCTAATTAGGTTTTCCCGCCGTCCCGGACAACTTCTCTCGCCGCTTGCTTGCGCGCTCGCTGGTGGCTGCGACCAAAAATTTACGCTACAGAGGAACCCCACATACTCAATTTAAATCTTATGTGCTTGCTTAAGTTTATAATATATGCGCAATTCTGCTTTCTCAGCCCTCGTCGCGAATGTTCCCCTCTGTGTCATCCAACGCCGTATTGCTTGAACCTCCTCCCTCTTCCTAGCCTTCTATCCTCCATCAAGGACAGATTCGAGCCAGCCAGCGGCCGCGCTCAGGGACCACCCCCCAGGGCCACCCCTGCGACCCCCCCCCCTGCGACCCCCTATGGTGTTCTTATAGAACAGTTGCCACGCCTGCTATGGCCTTGGACGACGGCACGGATAGCGGCCGCCTCAGGGACCACCCCCAGTTGCACCCCCTATGGTTGTCGAGAAAGTGCCACGCTGCTATGCCCCTGACGACGGGCATACGGATAGTGGCAGCGCACGGGGGCACCTCTGGGCACCCCTATGGTGTCGAGAAAGTGCCACGCCTGCTATGCCTGTACGACTCTGCCACGGATAGCGGCCGCGCTGCAGGGACCCCCCCTGTGCACCCCCTTTGGGTGTCGAGAAAGTTGCCCACGCCTGCTATGCCTGGACGACTGGCACGGATAGCGGCCGCGCTCAGGGACCACCCCCTGCGCACCCCCTGTGGTGTCGAGAAAGTGCCACGCCTGCTATGCTTAGACGACTGGCACGGATAGCGGCCGCGCTCAGGGACCACCCCCTGCGCACCCCCTATGGTTCTAGAAAGTGCCACGCCTGCTATGCCTGGACGACTGGCACGGATAGCGGCCGCGCTCAGGGACCACCCCCTGCGCACCCCCTATGGTGTCGAGAAAAAGGCCACACCTGCTATGCTTGGACGACTGGCACGGATAGCGGCCGCGCTCAGGGACCACCCCCTGCGCACCCCCTATGGTGTCTAGAAAGTGCCACGCCTGCTATGCCTGGCCGACTGGCACGGATAGCGGCCGCGCTCAGGGACCACCCCCTGCGCACCCCCTATGGTGTCTAGAAAGTGCCACGCCTGCTATGCCTGGACGACTGGCACGGATAGCGGCCGCGCTCAGGGACCACCCCCTGCGCACCCCCTATGGTGTCGAGAAAGTGCCACGCCTGCTATGCCTGGACGACTGGCACGGATAGCGGCCGCGCTCAGGGACCACCCCCTGCGCACCCCTATGGTGTCTAGGAAAGTGCCACGCCTGCTACGCCTGGACGATTGGCACGGATAGCGGCCGCGCTCAGGGACCACCCCCTGCGCACCCCCTATGGTGTCGAGAAAATGCCACGCCTGCTATGCCTGGACGACTGGCACGGATAGCGGCACGCTCAGGGACCACCCCCTGGCGCATCCCCCTTTGCGCTCTAGAAGTGGCCCACGCCTGGCTATGCCTGGACGACTGGCACGGATTAGCGGCCGCGTCTGGGACCACCCCTGCGCACCCCGTATATGGCTTTTAGTTGCGAGAAAGTGCCACGGCCTGTGTTGTTGGACGACTGGCACGGTAGGCGGCCCGCAGGGGGCCACCCCCTGGCCGCACCCCTAGTGGTTTTTAGTTTGTCGAGGGAAGTGCCACGCCCTGCTTATGCTGGACGACTGGAAACCGGATAGGGGCGGCGCTCGGGGGGCCACCCCCTGCGCACCCCCTGTGGACGCAATCCCGCACCAGATGCTATGCCTGGACGACTGGCACGGATAGCGGCCGCGCTCAGGGACCACCCCCCTGCGCACCCCCTATGGTGTCTAGAAAGTGCCGCGCCTGCTATACCTGGACGACTGGCACGGATAGGGGCCGCGCTCAGGGACCCCCCCCTGCGCACCCCCCTATGGTGTTCAGAAGTCGCCACGCCTTGCTTTATTGCCTGGACGTACTGGCACGGATTATTAGCGGCCCGTGCTCATGGACCAACACTGCGACCCCCTATGGTGCGTGGAAGTGCCACGCCTGCTATGCCTGGACGACTGGCACGGATAGCGGCCGCGCTCACGGACCACCCCCTGCGCACCCCCTATGGTGTCGAGAAAGTGCCACGCCTGCTATGCCTGGGCGACTGGCACGGATAGCGGCCGCGCTCACGGACCACCCCCTGCGCACCCCCTATGGTGTCGAGAAAGTGCCACACCTGCTTTGCCTGGACGACTGGCACGGATAGCGGCCGCGCTCAGGGACCACCCCCTGCGCACCCCCTGTGGTGTCGGTCGTGGATAGCGACCGAGCTGAGAGACCACTTCCTGCGCACCCCCTGTGGTGTCGAGAAAGTGCCACGCTTGCTAGGCTTTGCGCCAGTGCCACGAGCTGTGCTGTGCTGTGCTGAGCTGAGCCGTGCTGGGCTGTGCTGAGCTGTGCTGAGCTGTGCTGTGTGCTGAGCTGAGCTGAGCTGTGTGCTGTGCTGAGCTGAGCTGTGCTGTGCTGTGCTGTGCTGTGATGTGCTGTGCTGAGCTGTGCTGTGATGTGCTGTGCTGAGCTGTGCTGTACGAAGAGTGAGGTGTGTGTCGCGGGTGCGGCGCGGCAGGGAAGAAAACCAGAACCCCACGAAGCATGTGGGGAATGAAAAGCAGTGCAAAGTAGCGCAAAGAAATGCGAGGCAAAGCAATGCAAATCGATGCAAAGCAATGAGAAGCAATGCGAAGCAATGCAAAGTAATGCAAAACACAAGGCAAAGCACAATGCAAAGCACAACGCACAACAATTCAAAGCCATTCAAAATAATACAAAGCACTGCCATGCAGAGCAATGCAAATCAATGCAATTGCAATGGAGTGCGATTGCACAGCGATGCGAAGCAGTGCAACGCAGTGCGATTGCAACGCAGTGCGATTGCAATGCAAGAGGGGGGGGTGCAGCGGAGCGGCGGCGACGGACGGGAACGGGGCCGCGAGGCGGGAGGCGTCCCGGAACTCTGGGTACCGGCCTGCTGAGTGCACTCTTTCAGCCGAGGGCAAGACACCACAGACACCGCAGACAACACAGACGCCATACCCCACAGACACACCATACACCACAGACACCACAGACACCACAGGCACTACAGACCCCACTTAACGCAGCGTTAAGGGTACTGCGGCGTTAAGCCAATACTCCCGCGGCCAGGGCATGGGGTCGAGAGCTCCGGCATGGGATCGAAGGATCCGGGATGGGGTCGAGAGCTCCGCAGGATCAGAACAGGACCGAACCGACCCTGCAGACGGACTGCAACGAGAGCCTGGGGATATATGGCCGAGAGCTCCTGAGCGCGGCCGCTATCCGCGCCAGTCGTCCAGGCATAGCAGGCGTGGCACTTTCTCGACACCATAAGGGGGTGCGCAGGGGGTGGTCCCTGAGCGCGGCCGCTATCCGTGCCAGTCGTCCAGGCATAGCACGCGTGTCTGTGGTGTCTGTGGTGTCTGTGGTGTCTGTGGTGTCTGGGGTCGACGGGCCTTGCCTTGGGAAGGGCGGCGACGGATGGGAACGGGGACCGCCGGACCCGCAGACGAGCCACGCTCCTCAGACGACAAGCAAGACCTCCCGAGTGCAGGCACAGTTTGCGGAATGCAGGGGCACATTGTCCAGTCGATGTTGGACTTCGGGGGAAGCCCATCAACTCCAGTGGGCGCTGGGGGTCGTTGGGGAATCCCACCAGGCTTCTTGGCGTGAGTGGTTTAGAGCTTTCCCTCTTCCAGCCCCTCTTCTTCTCCTTTGGGGGGGGTCGGTCACTGTACCTTATTCATCTACACCCCCTCCCCCACCCGACCGGCAACAAACCCAGGACCATGCAGACACCCCCTCCACCATCACTTGCAATGCAAAGTTCACTTTTTAGTAAAATCTGGATCATGCGCGAACGCCCCGCGATCACTTTGCATGGGCTTTTGACAGGGACGGGACGGCGGGGTTGCCAGAACATCGCCTGCTGTGTGCAATGCCAACACCCCCCACCACCATCATTCGAAAAAAAATATTGAGTACACTCATTTCCAAAATCATGATCATGCGCGGACGCCCTCGATCAATTTGCATCGTTGTTTGACAAGGACTGCGGTGGGTTGCGACCCGCTGTGTATGATTGCAACAAGGTTTTTGTTGATGGATTTCCTAATGATTCGAAAGCTGTGGATCAGCAGTTGACTCATCATACCTGTTCATCGTTGTATTCCTTTCTCATTACGGTCTATCATCGTATTCCTCCCTCTGTCTTCCTCCTACTCCTCCTGGTCATCCTGGTCATCCTGGTCATCTCATCCTCGGCCTCGTTTTCATGATCTTCCCGAGCATCCGCATTTTGCACTCCTCACCTTCGCGTCTCTGTGGCGCCGCGCCGAGATTTCGGCTCAAATCAATCCAGGCTCCGGCCCATGTGGGAACCCCCACCCAAAAACGGGACGAAAGCTGAAGAGAAGCAAAAGTAAAGGCCCATATGGGAACCCCCACCCAAAAAAGGTACGAAAGCTTACGAAAAACTGCAGTAAAACTGAAAAGGAAAACTATTCGTACAGAGCCGAGAAGCGCCTCGAGCAAATCATGCTCCGGTCCCGAACGCGGCGCCTCACGGCGGCGGGCGCCGGTCGCCCGCGCGGCCGCCGTCCAGCTCAACGGCCGCCTCGAGCAGGCGGCCAAGAATCCCGAGGAACCGACGCAGGCACCCTCGGGGCGCTGTGGGTACTCGTCCACGTGTTAGCCATTGAATATTTTGGGTGCTTTTTGGGAATCATGCGTCAACTTAGTTGTTGCATTCCCGCAGGAGGCGGTCCAATCGGCAGATGCGCAGCGACAAGAACGCACGCGACGACGCGAACTGAACCACTATCGCAACGACGCTAAGCAAGCTTGGGCGAAGGCGAAATACTGCAAGAAGAACCACCTGGAGGCTCGCGGGCGCAATCGGGCGACACTCAGCATCCCAAGAGGAAACATGTGATTGACATTATGACATACTGTTTGGCGGGTGATCCATATGATGCCTGGTTGCGTTCCGTTGACGGGAAAGAGAGAGAGGACGGGAGAAGGCCTAGCAAAAACAGCAGAAAC